CACTACATAGCTTGCACGACATCGTTTTTACTTGCACGCCATGGCTTCCATCACGCAACTTGCACCAAATTGCTTGCACCACATGGTTTACACCACATAGCTTGCACCGCCGAGACTGCACCATCTGGCTTGCACCGCGTAGCTCGAACCGCATAGTTTACACATCCGCAGTGCAGCACTTGCTGTTTGAGGTCCACGCTGGCAAACATTTTGACCGAGCGCTTAGCAAAATCACGCTCCTCAGCCCTTGCTCAGCGAGGCGAGCTCGCCCGCTCACTTCGGCTCGTAGTAGATGTGGAGCTCAATGCCGTCCGGCCCCCAAGGGCGCAACTTGGTGTGATCCGCGATCTTGCCAGAGATCGGCTTGCTCTCGTCCTCCTTCAGATAGACGTTGAAATCGCTGTCCTTGAGGAAGTCCTGGTCGATCTCGAAGATCTTCCTGAACTTGGTGAGGCACGACTCCACCGTGGTGCTCTCGTCGATGATCACGCGGTAACGGCCTCCGATCGAGGGGGCGGTGAGCATGATCTCGGACCCAGCTTGCCTGGCCACGCGATCACTCCGGGCAGCCGTCTGGGCCCTCGTGCCAGCAAAGGCTGGCGAGAGGGTCTCGGACAGCAGCCACGCGGCCGCCGCGGCGAGGACCAGGGCGCCAAAGCCGGAGCGCGCCATCGCGTTCTGGAGGGCCTGGAGAGGCGGTGCTGTTAGCGACCGTCGGCTGCGTGAGGCCAGAATCCTTGAGCTTGGCCAAGAAGGTTACAGAAGGAGGCGGAGGGGTTGTTTGGTCTCTTGTGGCCAGGAGGTGGCCAGTGGCGGACCTGTCCTGTCCGCGGTTGGTCCTCTGACGTGTAGTGGTCCCACTCCTGCTGCTACTCATGCTGCTGGTGCTACCGCTACCGCTACTTCTACCACTGCCGCGAGCTAGTGCTAGTGCTGGTGATCGTCCTGGTGCCAGTGCTGGTCATAGTCCTAATCCTCGTCGTCGTCGTCCTCCTATCCTCCTCCACCTGCTCCTCCTTCCTTCAAATCCCCGTTCCTCCTCCTCCTTCTCCTCCTTCCTGCAAGTCCCCATCCTCTTCCTCGTCTTCAGGCTCCTTCTCCTCCCCCTCCTCCTCCTCCTCCTCCTCCTCCTCCTCCTCCTCCTCCACCATGCCTTTTCCTTATACATAACTCTTCCCTGTCGCACCCAGAGGCCAGTCGGAATGGCGGGCCGGGCGATTCGCCTGAGACTCCCGTACCATTAATGATCCTGAAGGTTCAAATTTGGCAATTGTTTCACAGATGGAGGGCGGGTCGCTTCCAAAATGTGGCTCTCGCCCTCGCGCCGTGCACACTCATCTGAAACAAATGCAAGGGCTTCGCGCATTGAGGGTGTGCAAATTTCAAAGCGTGGGTCTCGATTCACCGTCGCGCACATTCGTACCTAAATATTGGAAAGAGCGTGTTCTACCGCTGCTGGCGGAAAACCGGGGGGGGGTCACTACCGGTTCGAACCCCACCCCCCCCCCCCCCCCCCCCCCCACCCCGCCCCCCCCCCCCCCCCCCCCCCCCCCCCCCCCCCCCCCCCCCCCTCCCCCCCCCACCCCCCCCCCCCCCCCCCCCCCCCCCCCACCCCCCCCCCCCCCCCCCCCCCCCCCCCCCCCCCCCCCCCCCCCCCCCCCCCGCCCCCCCCCCCCCCCCCCCCCCCCCCCCCCCCCCCCTCCAGAAAACCGGGGGGGGTCACTACCGGTTCGAACCCCCCCCCCCCCCCACCCCCCTGCTCATCATGAAAAGGGGGGGGGGGTCACTACCGGTTCGAACCCCCCCCCCCCCCCCCCCCCCTCCGGATCCGGAAAACCGGGGGGGGTCACTACCGGTTCGAACCCCCCCTCCCCCCCTCGAAAACCGAGTGGGGGTGCGGACAGTGGTGGGGACGGTGTTGGTGGGGACAGTGGTGAGGGGATAGCGGGACAGTGGTGGGGACAGTGGGACAGTGGGACAGTGGTGGGGACGGTAGTGGTGGGGACAGTGGTGGGGACAATGGTGGGAACAGGGGGGGACAGTGGACAGTGGTGGTGACGGTGGTGGTGGGGACAGTGGTGTGGGGACAATGGGAATGAGGTGGAAACAGTGGGACAGTGGAGGGTACAATGGTGGTGGGTACAGTGGTGAAGGCGGTGGCGAGGACGGCGGTGGGACAATGGGACAGAGGTACAGTGGGGACAGTGGTGGGGACAGTGGGGACAGTGGTGGGAACAGTGGGACAGCTCAGTGGGACAGCGGAGGAGTCAGTGGGACAGTGGGGACAGTGGGGATAGTCGGGCAGTGGTTGGGGCCGTGGAGACAGTGGGGAGAGTGGAACCGTGGTGGGAACAGTTCTGGGGACAGCGGGGACAGTGCGACAGTGGTGGGGCCACTGGTGGGGACAGTAGGGGCGGTGGTGGAACCAGTGGGGACAGCGGTGGTGAGGACAGTGGTGCTGGGAACACCAGTGGGGGATGTGATGCGGACGGTGGTGGGG